TTATTGTCCATTATCAATGAGGTTCTATGGTTGTTTTACAGCATTATCAAGTCAATAGACAACTGATAGAACATATATACAGAAAAGAGAAAAAATTTGAAGTGTACATACAGTTCAATGAATCATCACAAAGTGAACACATGTTAAACCAGCACCCAAACCAAAAAAAACAGAACATCAACTGTATTACAGAAACACTTGTGCTACCTTCCACTCACCATCCCTTCCCACCAAGTTAACAACTATCCCAACTTTTCGCACCAGATTTTTCCATCCCCGCCCCCCGCAAATCAAGTCACATGACTTAGCCCCCAGCCAATAGTTAACACTTGACCTAAGATATAACAATCAGCCAAGGATAAGTAGATAGATAGGGTCCTCTGTGATCTCTTCTGTGTAGCAGATGTGCTGGTTTTCACAGCTTGCCCTGTGTCCTGTTAGAACCATCAGGTATCAGAACCCAGGAAAGGAGAGGGGAATGGGAGAAACCACATGATAAAATGGCTGGGTAATCATAGTTCCTCCCTAAGGCTGAGTATTTTTTCTTTAATAAATGCCTCTCGATTTGTTGTATGCCTTTGCTTGAGTTCCAGAGTCCTAAAATGGCTGTTTTTGACAGTTTGGGTCTAACTTTATTGTTGTTTCTTAGGGAGTTGATTTGCCATGTTCCTCACTATACCATTCTGGAAATATACCATCCTAATTAAATTTTACTTATACTTCTATAAATCATAAGTAGAATGAATGTTCTGTACTTTCTGAACTTTGTTGGGTAATTAAATTCACATGTTTTCAACTAGTTTTTCTTTTTATTCATGCCAGGTGCACAGTAAACATTTTTTCATTAAGTAAATACATAATTTTATAATTTTCAAAACATCTGAACATATAAGTTCAAACCAATAGTAAAAAAGATTAAAACTAATGATACAGGAAGTTTTTCTGAGTTACTTGTTATTTCAATTATCCCTGACCAATTCTTTTAGCAATATCCCACTAAATATCATTGCTATTGTCATTATAATATGATTACTTACTTTTTAGACATGTCTTGTTGCCTAAAGGAAGAAAACACTGATTAAATTCGTTAAAGCTCACCTCACACTGGTTATTCAGCTTGGTGGATGTGATATCCAACTGTTGGTATTGTTCCTTTAGCTTTGAAAATTCTGCCTCTAATCTTGTTTGTTCCAGTTTGGAATTATTTAGAAGACTTTTCAAATTTTTATGGTCAGTTTGTAAAACTTCAGTCTCTTTTAAAAGCTGACTATATATATGATTCAACCTACAAATAGAAACCATAATATATAATATGATTTCACTGTAATTTGCACAATGTGAAAATTCTGTAAATAACAGTCAGATATACTTAGAGAATAAAAAGATTCTTTTGCCACTTATGAAACTGATCAGAATCAGTTTCTATTCTGTAAAAACATTATGAAAAAACTCCTGAGTACCTTTCCCTTAAAAGAATCTTTCAGGGGCCGGCCCGGTGGCGCACTGCTACAGTGCGCTGCTTGGGAAGCGCGGCGGCGCTCCCGCCGAGGGTTCAGATCCCACATACAGACCGGCCGCTCACTGGCTGAGCGAGGAGCGGGGGCAGCACCGAGGGTTGCGATCCATTGCCGGTCACGAAAAAAAGAGAAAAAGGCAAAAAAAAAAAAAAGAATCTTTCAGGGGCCGGCCCGGTGGCGCACTGCTACAGTGCGCTGCTTGGGAAGCGCGGCGGCGCTCCCGCCGAGGGTTCAGATCCCACATACAGACCGGCCGCTCACTGGCTGAGCGAGGAGCGGGGGCAGCACCGAGGGTTGCGATCCATTGCCGGTCACGAAAAAAAGAGAAAAAGGCAAAAAAAAAAAAAAAGAATCTTTCAGCCCTTAAATATGTTAAAGTGAAGATACTCATAATTTTATCATATATAATTTAAAGTATTAATAGAAAGTATTTAGATTAAAGAACAAAAGATAAAACAACCAATCCAGTTTAATTTCGTGGAAAATACAAAGATTCTAAAATTCAACATGAAACAAAGATAAGATCAAGAGAATAAATTAGTCCAATATGAAATACTGTGTCATTATGTTGGCTAACTGAGATATACAGTTTAAACACAATTTTAGTTGTTGAATTTTCTGCAGTTGTGGCAAATTATTCATATTTATGCAATCCCCCAATTGTTTATCTTTTTAAAAGTCACACTATAGCTTTTTCTTTTTCTTCCCATAATTCACCTTCAGAACAAACTTTTTCTGTGAAGGACCAGAGAGTAAATACTTTAGGCTTTGTGGGCCACATGCAGTCTCTGTAACATGCTCCTTCTCCCCCGACTACAACGCTTTAAAATATAAAATCTTTTCTTAGTTGGGGGCTGTACAGAAATAGACCGCAGGCTGGATTTGGCCTGCTTAACTGGCTGTAGTTTGCCACCTCTGTCTTACTGCTTAACATCAGGAAACCACAAAAGAGGGAGTCAGCCAAACAAAACAAACTTTTGCTTAGGGTGGTTTTGGGTTCAGAACATCTAATAGTTTAACTTAACTCATTCTTCAAAGAATTTGCGACAGCCTATAAAAATTATAAACAATAGAATGATATATTTTTTAAAATCAAGATTTTGTTAAAAAGAAAAAAAAAAGATGGTTAAGACCAGAAACATACAACAAATAAATAGGTTGAATCAATAAATAAATGCATACCATGAGTATGCAAGTCAAACCTCACTGGTACATACTCATATACACAGCTACAGTGTATATCAATACTTACGGTGATCAAAGATTTTCCTACTGATGTTTCAAAGGGGGAGGAGGATGGGTAATATAAAGAGATAACATACAAAGTCCTCAATATCCCTATGGCAAATGCTAAAATGAGCTCTTTGAGTTTTTTACACTATCCTTTAAAGTTTAAGACATTAACACCAAAATACAAGTCAGTGACAATTCTAAAAAGGCCAAGACAACCCAGTTCATGTAAGAAACTTTCTTGGTTCTGCATTAACTAAGACGAAATTTAGGCTATTTAGAGGAATGGATGAATTATTATCCTTCAGATGAATCTTCATAAATATCTTTTTTTTTTTGGTGAAACAGCTCTTTCGTGTTTTACTTAAAGCCTTTTTTCCCCTTAGAACACAGATTGATTATAGAAGTTGGCAAGAACAGATTTGAGAGACAGAAAATACTCTATTTAGGACCACTCTTCTCCTTCAAGCATGGAGAATTTTCTGGGTCAATCTCATCATGCTCAATTTCTTCTTCACTTAGGCTGAATTCTTTCTCTGGAGGTTCCTCAACAATATACAGTTAGATTTCTGGAAGGCCTACCTAAGGTCATGAACTGTCCCAGTTATGTTCTAATCTCAGCAGTGAAAAAGGTCAGGTAAAGATGGGACTTCCATAGTAAATGTATTCCCCAATATTTGGTGTGTAATAAAAATGACCCTTATTATATAACTTCTCACAATTTGGTATTCTACTGCACATACTGTACATATACATCCTCCTTTATCAACTATAATCCTTAATTCTAGCTTGGTATTGAGCTTGTTGAATCCCCCAGTAGAGAAATTCTATTTATAACAACTACAGGAAACTGAATTCAAATCTACCGATCATGAAAATGAAGATGGCTCTAGAAATTTAGGGATTTTTTTTTTTAGAGGAAAAGAAGAAGTTTAATTCTAAAAATGGATTGTATTAAATTCATAATAGGACAAATACCAAATAAATGACCTCTCCTTGAATTTTATGTGCTGCCTTTCGCTCTTCAGCTATGGCAGTATAAGTGTAGTGCAAATGTTTAGGTTGTTTATACTTTTTAAATGTTTCTGAAAATGTTTCAAAAATGTATCATTAGGAAGCAGGCTGGTTATAGCTGGCAAGTTTCGATTTCACAAGGCTTTCAATTAAAAAATAATTACCCTATGGCAACATAAGACCATTAATAAATAAGACAGTTAAAAATAAAAGTATAAATTAAATCAGCCAGGAAATTATGAGGCCGCTCACTTGCAGCAATTTCAAAAGACAAGATTTGAGATACCAGATTAGTGAAAAGAGAGAAAGACATAATCAGGTTTAATTATATTCTGTCTAAATAAAGTACATAAATGTTATCAAGGTACACAAATTTTGTTATATAATGTGACTTAAAGACTTAATTAGTTGAATAAAACAAGAGATAAACAATGACAGAAAAGAGAACTAGGTATTTGTCTTAGTGATTCCATAATTAGTTACATGATTTTCTTGGGTAATTTACTTACTGCTCTTTTGCTGTGAAAAGAACTATACCGAACAGTCTATTCGATTTTTTTAAAATTCTAAGTCCAAATTATGATTGGGAGTACAAAGGGCAGTATATACTTTGGATATAAGCCATAATAAAGAATTAAAATATATTAATATTTTAAATATATATATATATATATTTATTACCTATCATTTTCACCACAAAGTTTCTTGTATTCTGTAGCTACCATCTCATGGTTTTTGTTTTCAAGCATCATTTTTTCCTGTTCTACTTTGAGCATTTTTTCCAAATCTTCCAATTGTCCTTTCTGTTTTAGTAACTGATTGTAACTGGGGAAAAAAAGATACGGATTTGGTTTATAATATTTCCAAAAAACAAAATATTTTAGAAATGAAGGAAACAAGAATAATTTATTAATAAATATCACATAAAACACACGTAAATTTATAAAAATTTCCTACATAAATTACCTCTTAGATGTATTTAACAAATAAGACTTATTATGTACTATCTGAAGAAAATTGGTTTTAAATTTATGACTCAACAAAATATAATAAATTACCGGTCTTCAAGGTCTTTATGTTCCACCTCAAGATTTTTGTGGGCAGACTTTAGAGTTCCATGTTTACAAATGAGAGATTCATACTCTGAAGCCTGCCGTTCATGAAGAAGTTCCAGCTTTTCATGATCTTTCATCAGAGAATCATAAAGTGATTTCAGCTCTTCTCGCTCTTTGATTACAGATTCATTTTCATTTTCTAAAGAAGACTGTTGGATTAGGAGCTGTGCATTCTGGTTCATAAGTGAGGTACTTTGGGAGTTAAGGGTGGAACTTTCAACCTATAAGAACACATATTGTTATTAAACATAAGAAAAATAGCACATGTTGTTGTTTTCTAAAAAATAAAAGATTACAACATTAAGTAAGCTCTAAATAAATCATAGCAGAAAATTTGGATTTTAGCTTCCCAAAGAATAAGGTTACCATTTAGTTTTGATTTTTAGAGGTGCTGTACACATACATATAAATGTATAGAAATATTTGGTACATATATACACAGTCATGCACTGCAAAATGATGGTTTGGCCAACGATGAACTGCATATACAATGGTGATCCCATAAGACTGTAATGGTTATATCACATAGCCTAGGTGTGTAGTAGTACACTCTATGAAGTTTGCACAATGACAAAATTGCCAAATGACACATTTCCCTGTCATTAAGTGACACATGACTGCAGATGTGTGTAGATATACATACACATAAACATATATATATATATATATATATGTTGTGGGCTGAATTTATTTCAAATTAAGTTGATAAGCAACTATTTATATTCCACTTATAAAAAAGTACAGAATTTAAAATGCTAATTTGTAATTTCTAGAATTTGAGAGTTGATAGAACTGATAAATTACTTTTGGAAATTTCCTGGAGTCCAAATAAAATTAGTATTTGCTTTATTCACTTGAAAAAAGGATTACAGAAAGAATTTTTAGATTCAGAGATAGAAATTGTTTCTGCCCTCTAAGAGGTTTCTATCCTTTTCCCCACCTGATTGTTCTGTTGAAAAGACATGGGCAGTGTTAGACAAAATTCCCATTTTCCAATAACTAAACTGATAAGAAAGCTGTATATAAGGACTAGTATGCTGTAACCATACTCTAAAGTCAGGGCTTCTGCCTGATTAATTACAATAATCAACTTGTTGAAATGGTGAAAAGACCATGAAGTAAATATAAATAAAATCATCTTTATTTACTTATATTTACTGAGTGAATTTATTAATTAATATTTAGAGGCTCTAAAATTTTTTTTAAATGCTGATGTTTGAAAGTTTGGCATGGCACTAAATAAAAATATTTTAGTATTATTAAATATTTTAATATTATTAAAAATATTTTAATACTAAATATTTTAATTTATCTTTAATTAATTGTTAAATTCACTCACAAAGAAACAATGTTTCCATGTCTTGCCTCCCTTATTTTAATAGCATAATTGAAGTATGGTTGCATATCCCCGAAATATTACATTACAACCTGAAGCTTGGCATTCTGTGTTTGAAGAGTGGTGTTCTGTTCCTGTAATGACACTGTCTGCCTCTGAAGTGCAAGAATCTGAGCCTGCAAATTATTGTTCTGCGTCTCAAGTTGCTTCAGTTGAGTTTTTAATGCTTGCTTCTCTGCTTGCAGCGTAGCATTCTTAATAAAACACACACATATTAAAAATAAAAGCAAAATCAAATATATTCCTGTAACAGATACTGGAATTTTGTACAGTGAGTGTTTATTACCATTATAATCCAAAAAAACCTTCCAACAATCTTAAAGGGGAAAGAAACAAAACATCCCCCCACATCCCAAATTGTAAACAGACATTTAATCTGAGAAAAAAGAAGGCAATACTGAAACCTTAATATACTACTGTGCCTGTTTCCTTTCTTCCTTAAAATGTCTTAAAAATAAAATATTCCATTCTAAATATATATATATATGGTTTTTTTTTGGGGGGGGGGGGGCTGGCTACCATGGGGATCCTAGGCCTTGACCTTGTTGTTGTAACACCACACTCTAACCAACTGAACTAACTGGCCAGTTCTCTAACTATATTTATTAATACAAGAAACTAGAATGGGGTTGTCAGTTGTATGGTTTTAATACTGCTCAAAAATACCCAGCATGCTTAGAATAACTGGGACTGTGTCCAATCAAGAGGTTATGCCTTTTCTAATTTACCAAAGGCATATGTGTATATGGGTGAGTGGTGATCCCAGGGGTAGCAGCAAAACTAACTATTTTCCAAACACAAATATTTGGAAGAGAAGCAGGTTTACAAGAACAATCTTAACCATCTGTTTAAAAAATTTAGTCAGTAATAGACCTAACAGATGTTACAAATTTTCTTTTTTTTTTTAATGGTATAAAACATTCACTAAAACTCTATTTCAACTATAAGACTGCTGGAGCATGTCCAAATAAAATATACCATTTTCAGTTTTTCCAGTACATATGACCATATTTCAATTTTATGGTTAAACAGGTGAATTACTACACAAATCACAGATCATTATATTTAATGTGATAGGCATTATAATCCTTGTCAGGGATATTATATTTTCAGGATTATTCCTAAATAAAACTTCATAAAAATAAATTAGCACACTTAATATATAAAAAAGCCATAATTGGTCTATCACTGCACCATGCATAAAAAGTTATAACTGAATCACAACAGATCACTCTTATCATATCAATATTAGGAGACAAAGATAACATTTACTTTATAGGCTTTCATGTTATACGCACTACACATCACTGTGTAAAGGCAGGTCATGACTTAACCAACATATACCATAAAATCAAAGCTGAGGAAGCACAATGCTTTTAGATGGGTTTTGATATTGTACTCCTCTTTTGTTCATTTGTTCAAATAAAAAAGATGAAAAAACTTACCCTGGAAAAAATAGTATTTATTACTGATGTATTTATATACCATCTGGACACAAAGAGGTGAACCATTTCCACTTACATTAATGAAATACTATTATAGTTTAATACTTTAGAAACTAAATTGTACAAGCTCTACTAATTAGTCTAGGTGTCTCTTAGAATATGAAAAATTCTATAGTCTATAATGAATAGAAGAGGTAGCTGACAGAGTATCTCAGAGCAGGAAAAAAAGTAAAGAATGGGAAAATAAGAAGTTAGCAGATATAATATTGGCAAATATACAAAAAATTACCAGACTATTATAGGGCTAACCATCTTTATAAACCCACAAAATGGCTAAAAATATGACAGCCAAGTAATTTTTTTTCCAATAGAAATTTATAAAGGAAGTCAATGGGAAAAAGAGATTCACCTTGTAGAACTGTACATGCCAACCCAATTTTCTGAAATGTAATTATGAATCCAAGCAACAGAGGTATATAAATATCACTGAATAATTAAAACTAGGTATTAATAAATAGCCAATAAACATATAAAAAGATGCATAATACCTCACTTATAATTTAAAATACACAAATTAAATATTTTCTCGTATCACTTTAATAAAAAATAAAATACTGGTAATAACCAATGTTAACCTGGAAAGATAAGTGTACTCTATATTAGTGAAACTGAAAACTCGTGTGATTTTTAAGGGCTAATACAAAAATATCAATTAAAATTAAATACACACACATACAACACACATACAGTTGTCCCTCAATGTCTGTGGAGGACTGGTTCCAGAACCACCTGCAGATACCAAAAACCGGAGATACTCAAGTCCTTGATATAAAATGGCATAGTTGAATATAACCTATGCACATCCTCCCATAATACTTCAAATCATCTCTACATTACTTGTAACACCTAAATCAATGTAAATGCTATGTACATAGTTGTTATAATGTATTGATTAGGGAATAATGGCAAGAAAAATAAATTTTTTTTCCCCTGAAAATTTTCGATCTGCAGTTGGTTGAATCCACGGATGGGGAACTCAAAGATATGGAGGACTGACTGTACTCATATCCTTTGGCCTAGCAATTATACTGTCAGGAATTTAATACCTTATAAAAATGTTTATATATGGATTTTAATTGTAGCAAAACCTGAAAACAACCTAAAAATGTCAATAAATATGGAATTTATTTATTTTATTTTATTTTGGGGGCAGCTAGCCAGTACAGGGGGAATTTATTTGAATAAGTTATAATATCCACACTGTAGAATAATATGTAGTCAAACAAAATGAGATACACCTACATCTGCTAAAATAGAGAGATCTCCAAAATAACATAATTAAAAAATGTAAGTAAGAATTTTGTATAGCATGATCCCACAGAATGTAAATCTGTAGAAGACATATAGTTCTTTACACAGATAAAACATACACATTTGTCTAGAAGATGAACTATTTACAATAATTATTTTTTGATGAGAAAGTAGAAATCAATAATATGGGGATTGGTTTTTGGTTTTATAACTTAAAAGTTTTTAATTAATGTATTACTTTTACATTACATTAAAAAACAGTAATAGCCACCATAACTATTTTACTTGTTAGCATGTAAGTTCCTTAAGCTCATTCATCTTTGAGAAGTAAATATTTGTTGCTGAATTTATTTTCTTATTGTTTACTATTAAGTATTTATTAAACTCATTCAGTGAATATTTATTAAGTATCTACTACCTACCAGGTACTATTCTAGATACCGAAGGTGCAATGGTGAAAAAGAAAGACAAACTACCTGCTTTCATGGAGCTTTTTTTCCAATGGACAAATAAATGAATAAAAAATATAATTTCACTAGTGAAAAGTGCTATAAAAAAACTAAATAAGGTAGTGGTATGATAGTGAATGGTTTAGGTTGGGGCTAGCTACTTTACTGGGAGAACAGACAAGGGAAGAGCTCTTGAAGGATATATGACACCTGACTGGTGAGGAAAACCAGTCATATGTTCCAGGCAGGGGAAGCAGAAAGACCGTGAGGTAGGAACAAACAGAAAAAGGCCAATATGAGTAGGATAAATTTACATATTATGCACCAGGCATTGTTTAAGTATTTCTGAAATGTTAACAGACAATATTATCCCCAGATTAAAAAAGAGGGTGGGTAGAGGAGTAGTATAAGGTCAGAGATTTAGGCAGGGAAACATCAGGAAGGACACAGCAAAGAATACGGATTTTATCCTAATTGAAATAGGAGGCCATTGAAGATTTTACATAGGGAAGTGACATGATCTGGATTATGTTTAAAAGATTACTCTGGCCACTGCATTGAGAATGGGTTTGAGTGTGCTAGGAGTGAAAGAGGGGAGGGCAAGTTAGGACGATATTCTAATACTACAGATGAGAGATGATGGTATCTTGACTAAAGTGGTATCAGCAGAGATGAAAAGAGAAGCAGACGGCTTGAGGTTTTATTTTCAAGACAGAGTTGACAAAGCCTGCTGCTGGACTTATATGAGGGTGATGGAGAAAAATATATTAAATTATTGGTTCTTCTGTCTTTTTTAATATTATAAAATAAGTCAGTGATGAAAGTATAAAATGAGCAAAACTATAAAGCCAGATTAGATAAATTTTCTAATTTATCTAAGTATATCCAATGATCATTTATTTCTAAAAAGCTATTCCTACTAAAAATTTCAAAATACTTACATTTCTTTCTACTTCAATTAATCTGTCTTTAACTTTCAGAAGCTCTCTAGTCGTTTCTTGACTCTCTCGCTCCCATTTATCTTCACCAGATACTGGAGGAGAGCTCTGTACCATCCTTTCCTCATCTTGTCTCTGTTTGAGAGCTTCATAATTTTTTTTCACCTAAAATTTTATTTAAAATACTTTAATGGGGAGAAAATATATCACCAAAGTTATATTTCTCACAATTAACTTGACTCTGCATTGGTATGGTGAATGTGAGAGACACTTTATTTAAAAAATGTAATAAATACTATGTACAGTTATCATTATTATGATCACAATTTGTAATTTTTAAAATGCAAATCCTTCCTACAAATGTTAAATATACTCTGCTAATGTGCCATGATATTACAATATACTCTGTAATTTCAAATACTATTGTTTCTGATTAAAATGGCCCTGAAGAATAGATTAACTGGGCATAGATATGTTGCTAAATACTAGCAATTCTTTTTCAAGCTGTGACAAATTTAGAAATTTCACAGAGGTCCCTATGTAAAGAACAAAGATTTGACACGTTAATAATTAGTCTTTAAAAGATACCTAAATTAAAGTTGAGGAAGTATCTATATGTAGGGGCTCCAAAAAGTTCATGGAAAGATTAGTATTACCTTTAATTCCATTTTTCAATGAACATTTTGATGTACCCTCATATGTCTGCCCTTTTAAGAAGAATATGTGACCTAGAATGAACTATGTTAATAAATAAATGAATTTATTTAGCTCTTGATCCTCATATAATTATTGTAATTTATAAGAAATGAGCAGTCCAAGGATATATTTTATACAGGATTTTTTAGCTTTGAGTTGGTTTTCTCAAAGTAGGCTGAAATCACACCAGAAAGTTCTGGATAAAATATGTCCTTGGATTGCTAACTACT